GCAGGGAGCCCGATGTGGGGCTCGATCCCAGGACCCTGGGATCATGACCTGAGCTGAAGGCAGATGCTTAACGACTGAGCCACCCAGGTGCCCCCTTCATGAATTATTTTTAAAGACAGCTATTTACTTGCATTTAATATGATATTGTAAGACATAAGGTATCTTACACTTAGGACTAGGGCACCTCAGTCGGTTAAGATCTGTCTTCGGCTCAGGTCATGATCCCAGGGTCCTGGGATCAAGTCCCACATTGGGCTCCTTGCTCAGCGGGGAGCCTGCTTCTCCCTCTGCTCCCTGCCCCTTGCGTGCTGTCTCTCTCTCAAAAATAAATAAATTAAAAAAAAGGTATCTTACACTTAGGACTAAACAAATAAGATATACATATATGTTTATGAAATTCAGCCTTTGTTTAAAAAGAATGCAGTAAAGAGAAAATAAGTCAATGAAAACTAAGTGTCTGGAAATGTCACATCCACTGAACAGTTGACAGCTTAGGCAGCATGATGTAAGAGATTATCACTGCTATAAACTGTCAAACCACAAGTACTCCAAGAGAAGAAACCCATACAACACCTGCCAGTAATTTAGCTTTGAAGATGACTGGATTGGTGGCTCTTTCATCACAGTACTCAGCTGTTCACAAGGAAAACAAAATCCAAATGATCATTTTTAAACGGGAGTAAAAGCCTTGTAAGACAATGTAAACGTGGTAAAAGAAATTCCTTGTGTAGTTGAATATTTGGAATACGATAGGAAAGCTCTCTGGGTATGGTGAGCCTTGTAATTAAAAATGGCTGTGCCCTGCCCCACTTTTTACCCCTCAATTCTACCCTCCCCACACAGCCACTGTCCATACTGTAGCTGTTTGTTTTGCAGGGGAAGGGTCCTGCAGGAAACAGGGTAGCCAGTATTTCTAAGTAACATGCTTTTAAGGCTATTTCTTGACTTTTCAATTTTAGACATTATCAGTTTTCTTCCCTTGTAAACTAGGATTTAATTCACAACACCCTATGCCACATATTTCTTTTTCATTCTCCTAATATAATTATATCACAATTTGGGCTGTTGGTGTTAAGTATATGATGATGATCATGATGAT